TATGGTCTCAGAGAAACTGCAAGCTTGCCTGAACTCCTTTCTCCCCCTTAGATTTTCTTTCTAAGGGACTTTATCTACTAACTCTCTGAGGTTATTAAAGTCTGCTTTTAAAAAGTCCATTGCCCTTATTCTGCTGCTCTCACTCCTTCCTTTCCTTAGGATCAGGAAGCCTATCATTTCATGATCACTTTCACTCAAGTTGCCTTCCACCTTCAGATTCACAACCAATTCCTCCCTGTTAGTCAGAATCAAATCTAAAATGGTTGCCCCCCCAGTTATTTCTTCCACCATCTGAAACAAGAAGTAGTCCCCAACACATTCCAATAAACTTATTGGACATTTTGTGTTTTTTCTGTATTATTTTTGCAACAGATATCTGGGTAAAGTCCCCCACTATTACCAGGTCTATGGATATTTGTTCTAGAAATGCCTCAATAAATTTAACTTGTTAATTTCACATCCTACAGTATATACTTTGGACATCGGAAACAGATGGCAAGAAATACCACAAGAGGAATGATGACTGTAACCAGGAAGAAACTGACAGAAACTAATCCATTCTTGCTATAACCAGGCGTTATATATTAGAACATTGCTAATGAAGACTCACTGTGTTACTAGATTTTGAAAACTAGTATGTAAAAAACCGCACAATAAAAATGTTAAGGTTACTGAACCACTCAGTGTGCTTTATTTAACAGATTATTTTTGCCAAATTATAATATTTCATAGTGTATTAGTCAACCTCTTGCCGTATATTTTTAAAAAGTAAGGAAGGGATTACAGGTTACCCACTAGTATAGGCTCTGCAGCTGTGGGAGGAAAGCCATTTTATTTACAGCAGCATTTGTTGTTGCCTTCTCTGTTGCTTTTAGAGTGAGTGAACTGGTGCTTATGGCAGCTGCAGACAGGTCCCATTAAATGTAAGAGATGATGTGCAGCTAACTGCAGGAGCAGTGTCCCTGCATTTTTGGTATTCATAAACAAGCCAGAAGGAAAAGGAGGCTTATGTGGGGTTGAAGGAATGTGCAGATGAGCACTTGTGCCCTCTAAAGGTAATAAGAGCCTTGCTAAAAACCTGGGGCCTACAACCAGGACCGCTGTTCATACACGATGATGGCAGGTCTGATAAGGTACCAATTCAGTGCAGTATTGAGAAAAACCCTGCACTGCTGTGATCTTGACCTCCCTTCAAATTTGGTATTTATTCTTTCAGGATTGGGATAGCAACATCAGCAGTTACAAGGGGTTTCAGCTCACAGCAGGTGCACTCAAGAGGGTGCTAGAAATCAAGGTGTTACAGGACTTACATCTGCACCAAGCAAAAGATGGCAGGGAACAGCAAAACATAACTAACTTGTTTGTTTCAGAAGCTACACATAGCATATGCAATATCTGGATTTGTGGGCACTCTGCGGTGCATTGGGCCAATACAGCAGCTGGATCTCAGCTGGGCTGCAGGGGCGAAGTTGTACATGTCAAGAAGAGACATGCAGTGGGATCAGCTCATGCCACTTCTGTGCTCACTGACAGGCAATGGCTGGGAGCAGACCTAGTGCATGTGGGCAAGGCTAGTAAGAAAGTAAATAAGGGGGTCACCATGATATTCCTGGAGAAAGGGGGCTCAGTGATACATCATAGGGACATCCATTACAATCAGACAGAAGTTTCTGGGAATGACGGCGTACATCGGTCAGAAGGAGGTTTTGATGTACAGCTAGATGTGCGGGCATGGATTGGACAGGTGGCGTGATACCAGGTGGCATGGCTGGGCAGGGACCGACCATGGTAGTTGCTGGTGCCAACTGTGGCTGTTTTCCAGTGTGTTTAAGAGAATAAAACGAATGGTTCCCAGAGGTAAAAGATCTGGGATTTTGGTGATAGGCCTTGGGCTCAGGTGATACGGTGAGACCTTGGGGCCTTCATGGGCCAAGGTCAGACCTTGTGACCTCACAGGCTGAGGTCCCCACCCTGCTTCACCCACTGTCCCCTTCACAGGGGGAGGTGCTAGGACTGAGATCTGAGTCGTGGGGGGTAGGCTGAGGAGAGCCACCCCACGTTATGGGTTATATGGGAAGGAGCCCAGTAGCCCTGGCACCAGTTAATGGGTTATATGATAAGGAGCCCAGTAACCCCTGCACTGGAACCAATTAAATGCCTGGTATAGGGGAGTATGGATGATGGGTGGGCAGTGCCCCTCCCCATGTTACAGTCTAATAAAAGTTGCAGGCCTGACATTTAATTCTATGCATGTGTCTGTCCTCATTTTGCAGCTGGCTCCACATGAATAGTTCATAGTGCATTAGTCAGCCTCTTGCCGCATATCTTATACAGTAAAAGGAAGTCTGAGTCATGAGAACTCACTAGAGCACTCTCTTATTAATTCTTTCCTGGAAAGCGGGGTGCTTTGTAGACTGCTATTTTGAGGAAAAAATTAAGAAGTTTCAATTGCCCTCTTACGTTTTAACCACCACCAAGAAGCAGATAAGATAGGTTAGTGCCAAGGAACACAGAACCATATATGAACCATGTAGAGTAGTTAGAAAGATGGTGCTTGGAAACTCAGTGCTCTGTCAGCTAATATTGTCTGTGCAGGTGACTGACAACATGACATTCTTCCTTCTAAAACAATAATGAATCCATATTTCAGCACAGGGAAGGGGGTACTGTGCTCCTGAAGGTATCATAATTTGAATGAAATTTAAAACCAAGAAGCGGATAAGACCCTTCATTCAATCAAGACCCTAACTACCTCTTATGCCCCGGGTAAATCCCAGTTTCAGCACCTGCATTTTTTCCACCCAACATTCCCTCCCCTGTAGTTACAACTGAATACGGTGTTCTTCATTTCTGCTCCTAAACTGTCAGATATTGTTAAGCAGTTGTAGCATTTAACCCTGGAGGTAGTTGATAGTGTTATACATATTCCCTTTTTAAAAATTATTTTCAGTGTTAATCTAGTGCTTGTGAGAGTAGCTGGGCTGACCGCCCTGGGGACTGAAGTTTTCTGTTTCTCCACAAAAAGAGAAGTGGTGCAAGCACAGTCTGCAGCCGTGCAATCTGCCCCACCAATGTATGTTAGCCATCACCTGGAGAAACCAGCTCTGAGAGTGGGAAGGCAATTCAGTTACCGGACCTAATGGATTCTTGGTCTCTCTCTCTGCACCAGTTATTCTAATAAAAGGTTTATATTGCACCATAAGTGTAAATAGCACTTGATAGAACACAGACGTGGCATGAACTCTATCAAAACCATGTGTTGGGGGGTGTCTATTCATTTCTTTATGTATAATCTACCTGTCCTCAGGCCATCAGCCTACTGATAACAATCACTTTTGTTTACTTCTGACCTGGACCAAATTCAAACCTGTGACCAAAGGCAAAAAATTCCACATCTCATTTCCAATGTCCCAGGTCATTTGAGTTCCCTTTTGTTCTTTATTATTAGAGATCTGGTATCCCATTATCCTGACCACTGCTAGTTAATACTTCAGTTTACCATGAAATCAAGCGACTGGACCACAATTTTAACTCCACTGAACTTGTCCTCTCAGCACCAGTGAAGTCAGAACTTGGCCATGCATAATTTTTTGGGGTGTGTATAACTTTTCAGATGCCTTTTGATGTCTCTGGCAAATGACAAACAGTCCTCACTTTAATTAGCAAAGCTAAAACTCAGCGAGAGTTCTTCCATAATCTAAATTTGAAGACAGAAAAGATTTTCCAGAAAAAAAAAAAAAAGGTGGGCCTGCTATGCAGGTCTTTCCACAGTCCTTTCGAGTGATTACACTAAACCTTTTTTTATACTTACCAGCTACAAAATATATATACACAATATCTTGTTTATGTATAAGCAAATGAACAAAAACAACAAGTAGCCTCTATTCAAGCATTTTTAACCACAGCACAAATAAGCTGGAAATATGAAGGTGATGCTATGCGATTCCTAGCTCAATTCTACATCTATCATATTATTTACCTTTCTTAAATCCAGAACATTTCTATGAGACATTCATTCACTGATACAAATTTATAAAACAATGAACAGGAAAACCCTTTGGAGCCCTGTATCAGAGCCAAAAGGAAAATGTTAAAACCTACAGGTTTGTAGCTATGAATATTTGGAAAAAAAGTAAAAGTATCTAATACTGCAGATGTTCTTCCTTTAAAACCCGAACAGCCTTAATTCCCAGTTCACAGGTTTCCTTATCACGAAAACCATTACTACAATTGACAATTGGCAGACAGCTCAAGGACTGAATTGCTTCTGCAGGATGAGCTATCATCTCGACTCTAGCAGAGCAAGATAGGGCCACATTGTTAGGGTAGCACTGGCAAACTTCCACTGCAGCTCCTTAATTGCTTTGTCTATGCTTAAAAGACTGCCAGTTGTGAGTGTTGTCCATCTATCATCTTTAAATTAGTATTACAACTCACTAAAAGAAAAATAAGATATCTGGATCAGAAAGATGTACAAAATTATATTATTTAGTAATCAGTGAACTTAGTAGTTATTTCCCTCTCTCAACTTAAACAGGACACATGTTACAGCTCAGTAAAGTGTGTGATTATTTCCTAAGACCAGAGAAAGAGCTGATTAATCACACTAAGGGATTGGAAATTAAATCAATAGTCAGAGCACCTACAACCAAAAGAATTTTTGTTAAAAATTTAAAAAAATACAAAAGGGAAAAGCAAAAAAAATTTTGTCAGGGAGAAAAGATTTAATCATTGTTATTTTAAGGGCATTTGTGACCTTATTAAAAAGGAAGGAAAATGATTTATTATATTACTATCAGTATTTATTACATTGTATCAACCAGAATATCTTTAAAGATATTTTTAAATTATGAACACTAACAACATACATCCTTAGTCATGTTATAAACAGAAATCTGCAGCATTGCCATTTGTGAGATGTGGTCCTAGATATCTGTTGCCTTTGTGGTACACTAGTTACCTACAGACCAGTTTAACACCTGGTTGAACAAAACACTTACCTCGGCATATTTTGCCACTGAGCTGGCTTCAACTGCATAGACTTTTCTAGCTCCAGCCTGCACTGCAAAAAACGAAAGGATTCCTGATCCACAGCCAACATCTAGGACCACCTTGAAAACAAAAGGCACACACACAAAAAAAAGAAGTTTAGAAGGTGGATTATTTTCAAAGTTGTTATTTCATTCTTGTATGTCTAAGTCCCAGAGGACCAAGCACGACATCCTGAAGAAATATTTAAACTGGGAGGAAAAATGGTGTTAAAAAGCCAATCATCATAAATTTTATTTTGGGTGCTTACATTTAAATAGATAAACTGCTTGAACTAGCGGTTCCTTCCCCTGGGCTACTTCCCTCTACTGCCCTTCAGCTTGTGGGGCTTCCTGCCCTCCCTCTGCACAAACCAGGTGTCCCTTTACCTAGGGTCTTGGTCTTCTTAGCCCACCGCAGCACTTCTCCAAACTCTCCTCTGCTTCCCTCCAAACTGCTCTCTGCTCCAATACCAATCCACTCTGCTTCAACTCCTCCAAACTGCTCTCTGCTCCAATACCAATCCACTGTGCTTCACCTCCTCCAAACTGCTCTCTGCTCCAACACCAATCCACTCTGCTTCATCTCCTTTCCTTGTCTGATTGAAGCAGGGGGGGTTTAATCAGGTGACTTGGCTTCAGGGGCTCTAATTGGCTTCAGGTGCTTTAATAAATCTATAGCAAACTTTCTTCCCTCTACAGGGAATAAGGCTCTAACACTCTCCTGCTGCCCTCTGGCCATGTTGTATCACAAAGAATACAGAAAATGGGTGAAGTATTAAGTAAGATTTAGATAGATTAGATGTACATGCGTGCACACAGACATATATGTATATATTTTGTGCAATATTTTTACATACTGCTAGGTCCATAAATAGCTGGGTGTAGTTTTCAAATGAAGGCCCTGATTCCGAAAAAACTTACGCACATATTTAACTTTAAGCAAATAGTATCACTGCAGGATTGAGTTTTGGGTTTTTTGTTTTTTTAAATGAAAACACTTATGCAGATGTATAACTTTAATCACATAAATAGCCCTGTGGAGTCCTCCAATGGGACTCCTTATGTGAGTAAAGTATGCAGTGGGGGTTTCTTTCAATGTATTTTCTCATTTCAAATGCTGGTGCCATAGTGTTGCCTAAACAGTCTGCATTCTGCTGCTAGCTTTATTACCAACACCAGCAGGTCCACACAAATCCCTCTATACTAAGCTGCATAAAGAGTGTAGCAATGGAATTACAAGTCACTCAAGATCTCATGGTTAAAGAGATTCAAAAGTGCATAGATAGATATTGGTAGTTAGTGGCAGAACGATTAAGATGAGTAGCCTAACCAGTGAGTGAGAGTGTGAGTGAAAGAGAAGTAATTCAGGAATGAATCTCCAGATCTGAACCTGCCCCCTCTGGTTTTGTTTCTGGGCTGGATACAAAACAAGAAGCCTTATTCTGCAATTCAAATCTGGCTGAAATTCTCATGAGATTTGGCCCAAGATAGTGGAAATCTCACAAGAACATTTAACTTTGTGATTTTTGCCATTTGGGAACAAAACCTCGTAAGACTTCAGTGCTATCTATTCAGAAATCAGATCATGCTCCTGACTTAACCTCAAACCTGAGCCCTGGCCTTAAATTAAACTGGCTCCAAAAACTGCCCCAATGGCCCTTCCTCTAGTAAACGCTGCAGCTCAATCTACCAATAAGCTCAAAACCTCCCAATAATGCAATTTGCGTAGCAGCCTTGAAAAATAAGATATTTTTGTGAATACATAAAAAGAAAGAGAAGTAGTATTGGCAAGAAAATCTGTCAGGGCTGAAAGCGTACTTCACTTTTAAAAAACATACTTTATGTGAAACCTAGGCTACGTACTAATGAAAGCAATCCAACCGCCAGCGCATATTGTAGCCAGTCTGAATCTCTGTTTCACAGATACAGGAAATACTAAGGCAACTAACATTGTTTCTTTTATTTTACATAGCTTCAAATTAGGCCTTGGGGCCAAAACATTGCCTCTAATATTATTTTCTTTTCCTAGTGCAAGATTTTATTAAGTTCATTTTTTATTTCACAGACAACAGGCTGTCACAGAGCCAGTTTTGTTTCTGTGCTTTGGTGAGTATTAGACCACACCTCCACGCCCAGAGGAGCTAACTTCAAAACAGCAAATTACTGCAAATATTGGGCAAAGGGGAATAAAGAAAAGGTAGAGGCAGGGAGCCAATGACAATCAAGCACAAGTTTCTGTTTAACCACAGGGCCGACGGAAGGATTTGTTGGTAGAAGATTTCTCAAAACCTACTGGGGAACACTGCTGATCATAACCTTTCCTTTTTGTGTATGTCGAGAGGAGAGGGAAGAACCAATGACTATGGTTAAACATTACTAATGGAATGGAGAAATGCGGCTTTCTACTTAGGGCCAGATTCTGAGCCCCTTCCTCACATCCAGTAACACACCTTACTTCTCATATGGTCCATCTGACTTTGTGGAGTAAGGTACTGCTATAGGGCATGGAGGTGCCCCCTGCTGAGATAATGTGGTGTTGCAGGCATACCTACCTTGGTTTCCTTTCTTTCAGGGCCTTTTAAGAATTCCACACAGTCCCCAAATGGATATAAGACAAGATTCCCCTGAAGGGGTTCTACTTTATTAAATCCAAAATAAGCTTAAACTATAGTCTCTTTCCTTGGGCTCGGAGGTTACACAGCCTTCCTCCTTGGGGCCTGTGGTTCTCAATCCTGGGAGCGTCTCTCCCTTTGGAAAGTTTCTTTCTCTATGAGTACCTCCTGTAAGCAAACCCTAATAGTTTTTTATCAGGCCCAAGTGTTCATTATCCAATTAACTACCTAGATGGGCTCATTAAATTAACTCTTCACAGGTAGCCTAGGCCCAGACTCCCTTTAAGGGGCCAGCAATGTCATGACAGGCACTATCCATTGTAAGAGCATCAGAACCCAGCCCTCAGTGGGTATGTCTACACTGCAAAGAAAACCCACAGCTGGCCCATGTCAGCAGACTCAGGCTTGTGGGGCTTGGGCTGTGGGGCTGTTTCATTACAGTGTAGACATCCGGGCTCAGGCTACAGCCCAAGCTTGGAGACCCACCCCAGCTCGCAGGGCCCTGCAGCTCATGCTCCAGCCTGAGCCCAGAAGTCTACACTTCAATGAAACAGCCCCACAGCCTAAGCCCCATGAACCCACATCGGCTGGCACAGGCCTGCTGCAGGCGTCTAGTTGCTGTGTAGAGATTTTCACAGTGCATTGTCTTAGTGACCACAGTAGATTTTCAATACATGGAATTAGCATTTTTTTCCCAATAAGAAGTCAAATATTCTCAATATAAGTGTCTAGTTTTAGGACTGGCTGTTAGTGAGTTTACTCTATATATGTATTTGCTCTCATATATTTATATCTATGTATAAGTAAATAAATAAGGACAGTAATTTGTGGGAGTTTCAAGAACTAGTCTGAAGCAGATGTGTGGCTACTTAAATAATTGTGAAAAATCAACATTTCAGGGAGGATTTGTGCTGTACCCATCTAATTAGAGCGAGGTCATTATCCTGCAAACTCTCACAAAGGTGAGTAATTTTCCACATTGAATTTAGTGGGACTATCCACAGGTGGAAAGATATACACATGCTTAAGCATTTGCAAAACAGAGGTCTGCTCAGGCCTAATTTTTAGGCCTGACCAGGACCCAACCCGATCCCTACCTTTCCCCCCATCCCTTAATCAGCACTGCCACAGCTTCCTGCCCATGGGGTTGGCAGCGGCTGCATGACCCATTCCCGTCATCCACTGCCCTCTGCTGTGCTGTGAAATAAGAAGCGCTAAGACAGCCAGCAGGAACGGGGCTTGCAGCCATTGCCATTCCGGCCCCACCAGCAGCAGGGGGAGAGCACCCTGAGGGCGTCCAGTTGTTATTCCACCTCACCTGGACCTGACACTGTAGTCTGGACCCATTGGGTTTGGGTCAGGTTGCAAGGCTCTAGAATAAGGGCCTTATTCCTGAAAGGGACACCATCAATTTAAAAAAATCAATCACAATATGGTCTAACTATTTCTACCATACTGTTGTTACTTGTAACATCTAATTATTATCTGACTGAAAGATTCGTTTTCTCTTTCTAATTTCTCTCTCTGATTACTGAATGTCTTTAAGAGCACTTTTTATATATCTGCTCCCCTGTAGAATCAGGTCAGTTCCCCTTTGTTTGTGTGAGTCTTTCATACAGCAAAGGAGGGTGTGGAGGGGACTTTTTAAAATACAAGAAAAATGTGACTTTAAAAGTCACAAAAATTGGCTGGGGAGACTTAGGGCAGGTGTAGTACATAAACTACTCAAATAATTTTTTTTAAAAATTACACTTATGGGCAACATTTTCAAAAGTGTCAAGTGACTTAGGAGCCTAAATCCCATTTTCAAAAGAGAATTAGGAAATTATTTCTAACTTTACACTTACCATCTATTTAAAAATATTGTATTTTTTTGTTTTAGGTCATTACTTCTAGTTAAACCACAAGAAGACATTTTGACTTGCAAGGCGCCATGTTAGTGGCATTTCAACATTTGAAGTCCAGGGTAAAATTTTCAAAAGCAACATAGGTAGTTAGGAAATTATTTCCTAATGCCAAATAGTGAGGGAGACCAGACAAGAATAGAAAAAATGTATGATTAAAAAGTTTGAGGCAACTCTAGTGAAAGTACTCTAGAGACAACACTTAAAAGGTTGTTATGGAGAAGAGGACAATTTTAAGTAGTGTAGAGGACAATCCAAGCAATGTTTTCTAACTTTATTATCGAGGATTCATTACTTTTTAAAAATTGTCTCCATATTCTTTAGGCTTCCTTAAAAACACAAATGGTTGGTACAAGCACTACCCACAATTGGTTCTGAAGTAGCTCATCTATTACTCAAATTACAAACAGAATGTGTATTGAAAATACCGCCAAGAACGTTATCAAGGGGTCCAGAATCAGTTTTTACCACCACACCTCAGACCAACCGCTTCATAGAATCATAGAATATCAGGGTTGGAAGGGACCCCAGAAGGTCATCTAGTCCAACCCCCTGCTCGAAGCAGGACCAATTCCCAGTTAAATCATCCCAGCCAGGGCTTTGTCAAGCCTGACCTTAAAAACCTCTAAGGAAGGAGATTCTACCACCTCCCTAGGTAACGCATTCCAGTGTTTCACCACCCTCTTAGTGAAAAAGTTTTTCCTAAGATCCAATCTAAACCTCCCCCACTGCAACTTGAGACCATTACTCCTCGTTCTGTCATCTGCTACCATGGAGAACAGTCTAGAGCCATCCTCTTTGGAACCCCCTTTCAGGTAGTTGAAAGCAGCTATCAAATCCCCCCTCATTCTTCTCTTCTGCAGGCTAAACAATCCCAGCTCCCTCAGCCTCTCCTCATAAGTCATGTGTTCCAGACCCCTAATCATTTTTGTTGCCCTTCGCTGGACTCTCTCCAATTTATCCACATCCTTCTTGTAGTGTGGGGCCCAAAACTGGACACAGTACTCCAGATGAGGCCTCACCAATGTCGAATAGAGGGGAACGATCACGTCCCTCGATCTGCTCGCTATGCCCCTACTTATACATCCCAAAATGCCATTGGCCTTCTTGGCAACAAGGGCACACTGCTGACTCATATCCAGCTTCTCGTCCACTGTCACCCCTAGGTCCTTTTCCGCAGAACTGCTGCCTAGCCATTCGGTCCCTAGTCTGTAGCGGTGCATTGGATTCTTCCGTCCTAAGTGCAGGACCCTCACTTATCCTTGTTGAACCTCATCAGATTTCTTTTGGCCCAATCCTCCAATTTGTCTAGGTCCTTCTGTATCCTATCCCTCCCCTCCAGCGTATCTACCTCTCCTCCCAGCTTAGTATCATCCGCAAATTTGCTGAGAGTGCAAACCACACCATCCTCCAGATCATTTATGAAGATATTGAACAAAACCGGCCCCAGGACCGACCCTTGGGGCACTCCACTTGATAACGGGCTGCCATCTAGACATGGAGCCATTGATCACTACCCATTGAGCCCGACAATCTAGCCAGCTTTCTACCCACCTTATAGTGCATTCATCCAGCCCATACTTCCTTAACTTGCTGACAAGAATACTGTGGGAGACCGTGTCAAAAGCTTTGCTAAAGTCAAGAAACAATACATCCACTGCTTTCCCTTCATCCACAGAATCAGTAATCTCATCATAAAAGGCAATTAGATTAGTCAGGCATGACCTTCCCTTGGTGAATCCATGCTGGCTGTTCCTGATCACTTTCCTCTCATGCAAGTGCTTCAGGATTGATTCTTTGAGGACCTGCTCCATGATTTTTCCAGGGACTGAGGTGAGGCTGACTGGCCTGTAGTTCCCAGGATCCTCCTCCTTCCCTTTTTTAAAGATTGGCACTACATTAGCCTTTTTCCAGTCATCCGGGACTTCCCCCGTTCGCCACGAGTTTTCAAAGATAATGGCCAATGGCTCTGCAATCACAGCCGCCAATTCCTTCAGCACTCTCAGATGCAACTCGTCCGGCCCCATGGACTTGTGCACGTCCAGCTTTTCTAAATAGTCCCTAACCACCTCTATCTCCACAGAGGGCTGGCCATCTCTTCCCCATTTTGTGATGCCCAGCGCAGCAGTCTGGGAGCTGACCTTGTTAGTGAAAACAGAGGCAAAAAAAGCATTGAGTACATTAGCTTTTTCCACATCCTCTGTCACTAGGTTGCCTCCCTCATTCAGTAAGGGGCCCATTCATTCCTTCACAAGATAAATTTTTCCAAAAAATAATTGAAATGTGAAGGTGATTGCTTCTCCATCATAAATGCCTTTCACTTCATGTAATTTGACTTCCTTACATCAAAGGAGGAAAGTGACAGCAATGTGAAAATCAACTGAATGGCCAAACTGGCTAGGAAACAAGTAACAACTGAATCAAACTCTTTTTGAAGATCTGAAAATTACTGTGCTCTTTTATCCTCATCTTACTCCCTCCCCCCATCACGCTTCTTATATATTTCAGTCTTTCAGATGCCTCTATGCTTTCTGGCTTTCACAGTAAACACTGGTGCAGTGTTTCTGCCCTGGCTAGCCCAAACCTAAGCAGCACTGAAATTCTCAGATTCTCGTGGGAAAGAGTTTTCTCACAAAATATCCTATCCAATTTTTCTACCACATTTGTTCTGAAACTTCTCATTTCACAGGACAGGGAATAGGGAGACCATTCTCTAGGTGGGTGGCCGGCAGCATCAAGTTTGTAACAGCTTTACTATTAGGTATGCTGAACAGAGGCCAAGGCAGTTCCAACAGTTGGAAAAATAAATACCTCAAGAGAGAACGCAAGCAGCTGTACAACAGCAATAGCTGCTAAAGGGGCCAACAGGTACAAAATATACACAGCCTACACACTTCCTCCTCCTTAATTCAGCATAAAAGAAATGTGCACAACTGGGTTCTGCTGTCCATTTTCTACCTTCTCACTATAAAAAGCAAAAACTCTTATTGGGGTTCTCATCAGTAGGGAGCCAAAGGACAAGGAGTGTTCCCAATCCACTGCTGTTCTACTAGTTACAGACCCTGTAATACCAGATTTCTACCTGTTCTGGTAAGAAAATTAATCAGTTGATGATGTAACAAATCAACAATCCAATACCATTCACACTCTTATGGGCCAGGCACTGGTGTTCCAGGCAAACTGGGCAAGCCCTCCCATGTTCCTAGCTCGCTGGTATTGTTGAGGGAGGATTGTCTCAGGCATAAAAGGGGTTAAGGTTTCTTAAACCCCTTTGTTTTACTTTTACAAAATTAAACAGTTAAGTATGGTTTGAGGTTTGCATAAAGGTATGACTGACCTATTCCCATTGCAAACAGGCATCATAAAATGCATCTTAACCTTTTACTAAACACATACAAAGAAGAAAAACTCAGAACATCAGAAACTTTAAAAAGTGAAGAGAAACTTTATTTTAACTATTTTCTTTATTTTGACTTATGTTTTATGAAGGGGAAATTTCTTGCTTAATTTAGATTGTATTAAAAGTCTTGTTTTGGGGTGGTGTCAATTTTAGATGGCCCTGAGTTGACATCAGCCTTGTTTTTTGCTGTTGTCTTAAAAAGCAGATAAGTGCACACAGAAAGCAGGAGTTGGGGGAAGACATTACAGGTGCAGCGCACAGTCTTAGCCATTTACAGACCTGGAAAACTTTTAGCAGATTGGTAAACTGTTGCTTTCAGATTGCATTTTTGGTTATAGCAGTGTTCCATACTGGATCCTATGCTGCTTAACATATTGATTAATGATCTGGAAGAGGGATGAATAGTGAGACAGCAAATTCTGCAGATTACACAGTTATTTAGATTAGTCAAGAACAGAGAGACAGAGAGGAACCGCAGATGGTCCTAACCAAAGCCAGGTGTGACTGCGCAATGTGGCAAATTAAGTTCAACACTGAAACAGAGTAATGCGACTTTGGTGTGAAAACATTTTATCTATTCAGATACACCTTACAGGGTTCTAAATTAATGATATCAATTCAAGAAAGGGGACTGGGCATCCCCGCAGATTGCTCAATGAAGACTTCTACGCAATTTGCAGCAGGGACATTCAATAAACTAAAAGATGGCAAATTCAAAACTGATCAAAGGAAACACTTTTTTCACACAATGTGTACGTAAACTGTGGAACTCATTGCCACAAGATGTTGTCTTTAGGGATCAAAATTTAGCAAGATTCAAAAAGGGATTGACCATGTATATGGATACGATGGTTAAACAGTGGAATAAATTGCCTACAGAGGTTGTGGAATCTCCATAATTGGGGATTTTTAAGAGCAGGTTAGACAAACACCTGTCAGGGATGGTCTAGATAATACTTAGTCCTGCCTGGAGTGCAGGGGACTGGACTAGATGACCACTCGAGGTTCGTTCCAATTCTATGAATATCCAGAGGTATGATATGATATACATTTTTGGAAGGGATATTCAACCTCATACTTCACGATTTAAGCCAATCTCTTAACTATTAGCAAGTAGGAGGAGACCTAATCTTTTTTATTTGGGGTTTTTTTTTGGGGGGGGGGGTAGGGGGAGAAGGAGGGCAGATTGCCCCAAACCTGCCTAATGCAAACTTTTTTGCACCTTCCTGTGAAGCATCTGGGCACTGTTAAAGAAAGATTTTAGGAGTGTTCAGATTTGGGTTTCGGGTTAGTCTGCAGGGGCCAGCTGTGAAATTCTGATCTAATGTTTGGATCCAGGGTTTAGATTCAATCTATCCTAAGGTACCTTTAATGTGACCCATCACCATATTGCCTAGGCATCCATATACTTGACACCTATTTTTGTAAACATATGAGTTGCATATCAGTACACTCATGCACAAAGTTCTAGGAAAGATCAGACAGGAGAGTTCAATCAATGTTATTCTTCCGGACACAATTATGTTTGGATCCAACAGAGCTTACCTTGTCTTTAAAATCTATGTGGTTCTGTAGAATAGCTCTGTGATATGTGGCCGTCCTCACAAAATCCTGCATCATATTCTGTTGTTGAGATAGACAGCCATAGAACTAAAAGGAAAGGAGGAATGGAAAAATAGAAAAAGATAAAGCCCATCTTCTACCAAACTACCTGTATTCAACAGTAACAAGGGCCTGACCCTTTGCTGCAGAATCCTGAACTAACTTTCTACCTGGTCCGGTGACTAAGGTCAGAAAAACGGGGAAACATCTATAACTTAGCTTCCACAAAACTGGCATTAGATGGCTTTGTTACCTGAAAATACTGAGCAGCAGATGCCTCTTCTGTTCGCTGATTGAAAACGGAGTGTTCCTTCTTCTGATTCCGGCACCTCTTCAGTGCATTTGAAAATGTGCTGTATTCTAGAAAAGAAAAAAAGAAAAATGGAGCAAAATATGAAAACTACTAATCCACAGAGAGCAAAATAGCATGTTCACAACAAGAACTCAGTGATAGATTTTGTTTGGAGTGGTGAAGGGGAATGGTGCCTCTTATAAAGTTAGCTATTTATTAGCTGACCCAACAGTCTCAGCTACAGTTGATTATTTACATTAAGAAAAATGTTATGTTAATGCAAAACAGCAGAATATGATGGCAGAGCTAGTAATGGAATGCATGTGTTAAATTATTAGGCTATATTACATGGTATGAAATTCTCCATCTTTGCTAAACTTTCGGGAGCCTTGAGAGATGAGTCTCAGTATCTGAACTGATTATTGAGGAGCACGTGGGTGGTCATAACACTGTTGCCCTGTGGCGAATCCCTGACAGGCCTGTTCAAGTGGCCATGAGTTATGGCTGAATCTGTTGGAGGAGTTTCTTTGTGTTGCAGAAAAGCTGGGCAAAGGGGAGTTAATCTTCAGAGTCCACCTAGAGTAGCCTCAGCCAATAATGAGAACAGTAGGGATAATTGGGGAAGGAATAACCTTGAGCTAGGAGGTATCCATCCCAGGATGAAGTCACAAAAATTTGCAGGGCAGAGGGATGGTCTAAGAAACCACTAGCTAGAGGCTGCTGAGGACTATGCATGTTACCAATATTCTAGCTAGTACCCCTGGAGCAGGACAGGGTGTGCGTCTGTGGATCTGAACATTTTTTATATTGGACATGTGGTAGGAAAACGCAAGCAGGCCTGAAAGCTCAGCAGCTTTTGGATCTGATCGAAAAAACTGAAGCAAAACTTTTCACACAGGGAACAAAAGACAACACATACCGGAAATTTAATTAAATATAGAATTTATTTAGAAAAGGAAAAGCTCTGAAAAGAGGTTTCTGCATAAAAGTAGCATAAATGGTAATAAAACCAAGCATGAAAGTCTTCCCTCCTCTGTTCATGGCTGGCTCCTGAAATAAAAGTTAAAACAAGAGCAGTCAGAACAGTTTTAAGTAAGCCATGTTATATTAACAACTTACTGACCAAAAGAAAGAGAAAGAGGGGTGGGGGAGAGAACTCCAAAACCCACAGGTCTTCAAATAAAAATAATTAATTTCTGATTAATACAAAGTACATACACAAGGAAGTTGTCACTTAGTGCTCTAGTCAAGTAGGAGCTGTTTGAGTAGCAGCCCTTCAAACCCAGAGATCTGGAAAATAAAAATATAACAGCAGTTAATTAGCCAACAACAATAAATCTCAGAATACAGTAACCAAGGAAAACAATCACCTCCTCCATCTTTTCTTCGACTTTTGACCTCCCCAAACCAGGACTTAAGTTGTACTGGTCCCTCTCTGCTGGGGACAGCTGCCACAAACAAGGCAAAGACAGCTAGGAGAGGCAGCAGCTGGCTTTCCTAACCCAGCCCATAAAAACTTCAACAAGTTGGATATGAGCTTTCCTAAGGAGAAACACACAAATACACAAAAAGAAAAAAAAAGTAGAGCTGATGAATCAAATACAAATAAAGGGTTCTACCCTATTGTCCTTGCTCAGGCAAACCTTAGTCAATGGGAGTTCTGTTTGAGTAGGAACTTCAAAGACAGACTCAGAAAGTAAATGTTTTAAATGTCTGGTAAAAACGTATGGCAAACAGGATGCAGAACTCACTAGAAATTTAGCCAGCGATTTCCTTTTCTGTTGCTGCTGCTCAGGTCTTTCAGCCCCTGTCCACGTAGAATCACTAAATCTGGAAAGGTGGAGTTGAATAGAGTCTCCATGCTCCTTACAGCCATATATTCTGTTTCAGTGAGAGGGCTTAGCACTGATGAATAAGACAAACACATGCACGGTTCCTCAAGCAAGTCTGAACCAAATCACGTAACAACCCACTGAACTTGTTGGGCAGCCCAGGGCCAACTAAAGCAAAGGCTTTACAGGTCTACACCCAAGGCTCAGATAACACACTAAGGGGTATTAAGTTCGAAACCCACTGCTCTGGTGGACCCTGCCAACACCACCCCAACGGGGGACTGCGTATAGCAGTGGGAGAGTGCAGCAGGCCTGGCTCATTCCCAACCCAAGCAGGTACACTTTGGCTGCAGAGGTAAGTATGGGGTGGGAGGTGGTGGCACTTGCTCCTACCATTGTGGGGCGGTGGATCCCTGCTGCCACTCTTGTGAGGCAGGGGGCAAGAAAGCCCATACTGCTACCACTGTCTCTTTGGGAAGGGAGGACCCATCTGCCTGCCACTACAAGAGGGGCTCTTTGATGGGATCCCCGGGGTACAACTTGGAACTGGGGTCTTAACTCTCCAGCCTGGGCTGTCTCTCACAATGCTTTGCTAGTGACAAGCAGCAAACCCCTTGGGTGCTGTTATCGCTTAGCCCAACCGCACGTGGAGCCGCACACCCAGCTAGACTGCGTGAATGTTCCCTAAACCACTCACAAATCACACAGAGAAAGGCACCAGCAAATCTCCCAAGCCCCCAGCCTTGCACCCCCAGAACAGACTGTCTTGCCCTGGTCAGAAGTCTGACCAGTGTAAGTTCATTACCCAGTCTGCCCCTCCCTCAGTGTGGAGAGGACACACACCAGCCTTAGTAAACTGAGCTGAGATTTCCCAAGCACTTCACCCAAAACACACTGCTTCCGGTAAAATATAAAACAATGTATTAACTACAGAGAGAGAGAGATTTTAAGTGATTATAAGTGGAAAGCACAAAAGACCAGAGATAGTTACCAAAGAAAATAAAAAGTAAGCACACAGTCTAAATCTTAAACCTTATTAGATTAGGCAGTATTTGGATCAAGCAGTTTTCTCACCCCCCTGGATGTTGCAGGCAGGTTACAGTTCTTAATACACAGGCTTCCCCCTTAAGCCTGGGGCAGCGTTCTTGTTGCTTCCAACTTACATGGGAGAGGAGAAAGGTAAAAGCATGATGACACTGTTTCCTATTTTATATCATCAGTCCATGTGCCTGGAAAACACCAGCCCAGATGTGTCCTGGTGGACTTTGCTGAGTCACAGAGGTGAGCAATCCCCCACTCTGTGATGCACGCACAGCCCTCTTACAGCTTTGTAAACCCCTCAATTACAACTCCCCTGCTGATTAAACAAACACTCTCCTGGGAGTGGGCTGTATGACATATATATTAATGATATGACATGGGTGAATATGGAGGCTCCAGGGTGCTGCCTTGAGGTAGAGTGCCACAGGCTCCTGTGTGAAGATGGGGCCATGGTGAGCGAGCAGGACTGAAGGATTGGGGTGGGGAGAGAGCCTGCCTTGCCTTATGAGCCTGGGGTCCTGGACTGACTATATCCAGCCCTGGAGCAACCTATAAGCAATCTGGAATCAACACTGCCACTACATGATGCCTCGCTGACATGCCCCTTTCTATCCCTCACAGCACAGAGAAAAAGTAAATTTGAGGAAACTCAATAAAAAGATATACAGTTTCCATGGGATGAACAGAACCTTGTGAGGCCCAGCTGCTTGCCCTGCATCTAGAGGTGGGCCAGAAACTAACCCATTTCACTCTTCTGCTGTTATCTTCCCATGAAGTAAAGCAGTAAAGAGTCCCATGCTAGGGGAAAAATTCTTTTCCAAAAACAGCCAATATCTTATGCCTCTTCCATTCCTTCCTAATTATTTGAAAGGTGAGAGCTGGTGCAATACCTTTGCCTTCCTTTTCCCCCCCAAGGACAATCTTTTTCTCTCTCTCTCTCTCTCTCTCTCTCACACACAGTTTGCAAAAGTGTTAACACAGGATAGAGAACAGCAACCTTAATTATGACTCATCTTTGATCTCAGAGGATGTGCGTGATGGGAAGAAGAGAAAGAACTATGTTCATCTGCTTGTCGTACTTTCTCCTCTGGGTCGGGATAGATGATTGTAACAGTAATTGTCCACTTACGATCCCAGCAAATTATAAAACAGACAGACATTGGGTTAAAAGAAGAAAGAATAGTGGTCCTAAATGAAGTGTTTAGACAAAAGTCTGGTTTTTTTCAGTACTGGCCTCGGATGACCTTAGTCCATCAGTTTCCTTTACATAAGCCCTGGGTGGATGCTGGAAGAACATAAGAGCCTCTTGAAGAATGCAAAGGGGAGAAATGGGGAAAGAGACAAACGCTCCTTGTGTCCCTCCCCACTCTCCTCTACTAGAACTTGCCATAATAGTGGAACTGTACTGCCATCCTGTTATCCAAAACATCACACAAGGTACTCAAGATTCAGGAAGAAAAAATAGTGGCTGCATTACATCTTTTAACTCCCAGCAAGCTTAGAGTAAGCTTTTAATCCTGTCTCTATTTTCTGGGTGTACCTCAGTGGCTTACGCTAGAAACTATGTGAGCTACTTTTATATTAAAAAATAAATATGAATCTTGATAATCATTTTTGGGTAAGAAACAATTAATTCATTCCAGCAAAATGAAAAAATAAAAATCTTAGCTGAATAAATTAAATTAAAGCATCAGTTTACAACATTTCCATGAAAAACTAATTGTTTCACCTGTTTGAAATCCCCACAGCCTTCAATCCAGCTTCTAACTGAATCAACATACCACACAAAGCTCTCTCCTCTTATTTTGTTTCCATCCACTGAAATTTAAATGTTAAGCCCCTTCAACCTTTACAAATTTCACGTCTAAAGAGAGAGTCTTTTACTTATGCAGGAAACGATAGATAAATAACTTCAAATTCCAGATCAGCTCGCAGATAGAAATTATTACTGCAGCTTGGAGTTTTGATTTTTTTAAGTTTATGTTTATTCTCTTCCTCATACAGGACACTGCTCCTAAAGGAAATCATTTAGATCTCTTTAGGCAAAAAGTATTCATTACAAGGTTATCGTTTTCAGATATTGTCTGAAACCTCAGTTACTTGCGTTTGTCTATGTAAATCCCATGATAAACAGCCACAGTTCTACATGTTTACAATTGACTGTGTAAAAACTGAACGAATGATTGAAAAAACTG